TTCTACCCAATATTTCTTTAATTTTGATAAAAGTTCACCTGACATATCTATATTTATATTTTAATTTTTACGTTCAAACATCAACCGAATAAGATATTGACTTTATCTCATATCCCAATAAACATGTGAGGACATGTTGAGAACTATGTTAGTAAATAAGTAAGTGAGCAAATAAAAATAATGACAAAAGTATAAATCAACCTTAAATATATTCAAGTTTGCCACTTCCAAGAAATTAACAATTAAAAAGAAAAAGTAATTAAGAAAATTCTAAAAAATTAACAATTAAAAAAATAACTAAAGAAATTAAAATACTTGCATAATATGTTAGTCTGCATATAAAAATATATACATAATAAAATAATAATAATAATAATAATATCATGAATGCAACACATGAGCAAATGACCCATTTCATTTCCTTTTTAAAAAATAATAATAATGTTGATCATTCTGTTAACTCTATCAAGTAAAATATGTGTATATATATATATATATATATAATTTTTTAAGAAAATAATCAACCTAATCTCCCTCATCATTATTTATCTTCATAATAAGAAACGATGGTTGATAATTAAAAATACAAAATGGAATATCTAAACCAAAGGATAGCTTAACTTTATTAAGTGATATATATATATACACACACACACATAATTTTAGAAATAAGAAATAAACACACCTGTGAAATGAGAGTTGGGCGCGGGGGGTCAAAGGAGAAGGAAGATGTATGCAATGCGACCAGTTGAATAAAAGACAACCAAAAAAAAAAAAAACAAGAGTATGACAACAATAAGACAAGTAACACAAAGCTAAGTAAGAATCGAGCAATGCAGAGCAAAGCAAGAGCAACCTATATAACATCATAAAATGCATCTAAATACCATACATCTACAATTGTATAACAGTGCCCATCCAAAAAATAAAATAAAAAAGAAGAAAGGAAACGTTACCTGACAAAGTTTTAAAGAAAAAGTGATGTTGTAGATTGGTACTGTTACATACTGTATTCCCTATCTTTTTTTTATTATATCATATAAAAAATTAACAAATAAAAATTAACAAAATTAAAAAGTTGGATCAGTAATGTAGATCACACAATAATAGATCATATCATTTAAAAAAATTAACAAATAAAAATTTAAAAAAATTCAGATGGATACGATAGTACTAGATATTTATAGTATAAGTACTATGATGAACAGTACCGCTCCATAGTAATATACTAAAAAAGTTAATAAATAAAAATTTTTAAAAAAAAGGAAAAAGAAAGGTAGGTCCTTGATGGTAAAAAATTTTTTAAAAAAATCAAATTTATAGTACCCACCTATATAATTACAATATTGATAACTCTTAATTGCATATGCTCAAATTAACAAAATTAACTCTAATGTAATTTAGAATTAACCAAGATCGAATCCTTCAAAGAATTGTTATTCTAAAATTTTAATGAGCAAAAACATTAATAAAATAACAAGTAATAGTTTATTCAAACTATTTAAAATAAAACTAATAAAATATATTACTATTTTTTGTTTTATTTATTTTAATGAACTAAATTGAAATGAATGGAGTGAAAAAAGTGTAAAAATATTAGTAAAATCAATTATATGAACTTCCTTGGATGACTTAACCACTTAATCCTTACTTTTAATTTTAATTTTAATTCCTCTCCAATTAATTGAAGAGCACACGCATAATTACTATTGGTACACAAAAAATGAGACTTTATTTATGATAATTTTTTTATCAGGTGCCCTTGCTTTATTCTTTTTTCTTTAAAAAAGATAAAATATTTATTAATAAAAAATTAAATACATAAATAAATAAATATATATATATATATATATATATATATATCATCTTCCCCGAATTCATCTCTATGTTATATAATTTGATTACATTTATACAATTTATCAAAAAATACTGCCCTACGCAAAATGATTAGAATCATTAATATTGTTGTATAAAAACCCTTTAAAATAACTAAATTTTTCATGGTCTAAAATGCATTGAACTTGTTAAAATTCATCATCATTTTCTCCATCATGCACTTCAGTTTAAAAAATAACCATTTATGTTGACGTTGGATGTTGAATAGAACAATTTTATTTTGAAACTGTTTTGAGTCTTTCATAAATGCTAAATGAGTTTGCTTTCATGGTTTTTAACGTATTATTACATTAATTCTAGATACTGAACAATATATTCCATTTAAATGTTTAAATAATTCCATATTTTCAGATTTATTTTCTTGTTCTTACTCACTCACCTTATAGTTTCATTTCTTTATCAATATATCTTCTCATTTTCATTAAGAGATTAAAGCAACCAAGCACTTAATTGAAATTTTTCAAAATAAAAATGATTTCGTATGATCTTACGAATGAAGTCAAAAACCAATAAGCACATGTATTAAATAACACATTTAACACTAATAAATACAATCATGACAGATTAAATAAAACAGGTTTATTGTTATATTATGCACTGTATTCATAAATGACAAAAAAATTTTATTTATTTTAATAAATTTAACATTTATCATTCTAATACTTATCATTTCATTTTATAATTTATACAACCAACCCAACTGCAAAATACTATTGGTCTTGAGCTAAATGGCAGCCCATATAAAAGATTTGGAAATGTTTTATGCATAATATTTCTCAATGAGAAGCAGCAACAAAAACCTCCCGTTATCCACCAACCACATCCACCACCACAATATCCACCGACATAGGTACTTTTTAACAGAAATGCACAACAAAAAGATTAATGATGATGAATTATTAGATACTCAACACATTATCGGCCATGAAAATTTTTAACTATTTCAAAGGGTTGCTATATAACAATAATTATGATTTTATTCATCTTTCTCTACATAGGAGAATGTTTTTTTTATATATTAGATAAGTGTAATCAAACTATAATACCTCAAAATTGAGAAGATTATATGTATATTTTTTTTGCCTTTTTTTATTTTTTATGTACTCAATTTTTTATTAATAAATATTTTATTTTTGTAAAAAAAAAGAATAAAGCAAAGACATGATAAAAAAATTATCGTGAATATTTTTATTTTCTCTCTCTTCTTTTTGTATACCCATAGTAATTATACATAGACTCCTTCCTATGAATTATTAGGATAGGATTCACCCTCATTCTTACACCCTTGACTTGTTCAAAACTGAATCAACCCTCTTATCCTTTTCCTATAAATTTTCCTTTCCTTGTGATTTGATTTCAACTTTTCAAGAAATTATCTATTAAATGTTTATTTTTTATAACAATTTTTTATTTATCAAAGCACCGTTTAATAAAATTTTAGTTATGGAGAGAAGATTAATGTATAGGTGTATTTTTAAAAATTTCATTTTAATAAATTAAAACTTGTATAGAAAGTAACAATTATTTTTTATCACTAGAAAATAACTTCAACATTATTTTAAGGTAAAAACCATGGGTAACTTTTAAAAAATCTATATCATCTTTTTGACAAATTTATATTCAAAGTAACATTTTTATTCGAAAGACAACTATTCTATCTCTACAACAAAGCTAAAAATAGATCCAATTATTTGAAAATGTCCCGTACTACTACAATTTTACGTTGGACAAGGAGGAGGAGGAGTTGAAGGAGGAGAGTAAAAGAGTAAAAGGGGTCGACAAGAGTAAACGCTCGAGGCATAGGAAGTGGGGTGCTGGTAGAAGAATTGAAAGGATAAAAAGATTCATATTCTTTGGCACCTAGTTTAAATTCTAAAAAAATACAATGATGAGACCTTACATCAAATTTGGAGGGTGAGAGGTGTAAATCTAAACCGTCCAGATTAAATGATAAAATAAAAGTTATACAATATAAATCTTTCAGATTAAATATTTTTAAATTTATTTTAACTTCATTAAAATAAAAAAAATTATATAAATCTATTCAACAGTCTGAATAATTCTGATTTAATATGAATGGGCTCATAAATTTTTTATTTTGATAAATTTAAACTAAAAATAAAAATATTAAATTTAAACTATTCAAATTAACCCAACTCCATCATATTATCCTTTGGAAAGAAGGTGAAGTAGTAGATGAGTTAAAAGAGCTAAAGGACAAAGTATCTACAGCAGACACATTATCTGATGTGGACATGTGATTGATTAAGGCACTGTTGTTGCAAACACAACATCCCCAAGTGATCTTGACCCTTCATTTTCCCTCAAATGGGAGAACAATCAGGATGCATGACAAGGCTGAAGATATAAGCTTTTGGGATTTTGATAAGCTACAATTATGATCATTATTTGTTAAAAGCAAAGACTCAATCTCTTTCATTGCATCTACGGGAGAAATGTTTGAACAAATATTAAACCCAGTTATGATAATGATAAATTACATAAGGTTGTACGTTTAAAAGGTTTATTTAATCAAAAAAGAAAAATTATATTGGTTGTAAGTTTGTCAATAAATCTATTTTTACATGTTAAATATTTTTCACTTAAGTACCAATATTATTTTGAATATTTAAACTTGTCACTTTCACTTCTTAAGCTTACTTCCGGCACTGTGGTTACCCAAGATAATTTTTCATTTATATCGAGGTTGAGTACTCTACTTGTTTATCATACCAATACTGGAATATTAAATATTATGCATGTTACTTTTGGAATTGGGCTCTTATTCCCATTTTCTTTTCTCCATGGTATTGAAAACCGAACTAAACCGGCCGATCGGACTGGCAACTCGGCATCTAGTCCGATTTGGTTTAGCTGGGCAAAATGGACACCCTTGACCCGGGTTAACGTGGGTGACCCAAGATTAACCCAAGTAACCCTGCCCAACCCCTCGGGTCAGGAGGGTTGGGCGGGTTATTATTTTTTAAAAATCTGACCCCCAAAACGACGTCATTTTGGGGGTCATCATATAAAAAAAACTGAAGCATGCGTTCGTGTTGCCTTTGCCTTGAATCGTCTGTCTCGATTTTGCCTTGGATCAAAAATGATCAGAAGCCCTAAGCACCCCAAAATGACCTGCCTCAAAGCCTTGCCCAGCCCTCATCTCGTCTCCTCTCTATGGTTGTACTTTGTCTGAAGCCCTGAATCTGAACCTGTGAACTAAGAAGGCAAGAACTCTAGTTGTACTATGTTTGAAGCTCTGAATCTTGTCTCCTCTCTGTGGTTGTCTCGTCTTAGCGTCTTTGATCTTCCTTCTTTCCTCTTTAAGCTTGGAGGGTCTCGTTTCACCTGCTGTCGTGTGTCGTCCTTAGGAGCTTTAACGGTCAACTTAGGTAGCTACTCTCTTTCTCCCTCCGCTTGATTCAGGTATGGCTTCTCTCTCTCCCCTCTTCAAGCTTTATGTTGCTCATTGTTGCTATTGCTCTATCTCTTCAAGCTTCATTTATGATCTGCGTACTATATTCTGATTTACTCTATACCTATTATTACTTTGTATCTTTGAAATCTGCTACTCTATACTCTTAGAGTAGTATGTGTTCGAGCTTCATTTTAGTTGAAATTAGTCTAAGGAGTGTTTGTTCGAGCTTCACTTCTTGAAATTAAATTAATTGAAATTAAATTGCTCTGTATGTTCGAGCTTTACTTCTTGAATCTGCACTCTGTTGGCATGTCTGCTTTAATCTACACACTTGTTGAATCTACTCTGCTGGCATGTTCGAGCTTTACATTTTTTTGTATTAGATATTTATTTATGTTGACATTATTATAGCTTGCAGATTAAAGCTATAACATAGATATTGTAAATAATTATAGTAGTGAAGGAACTGAGAATCCCACTCCTAATTCCAATAATCCTACTCCCAATTCCAACAATCCCACCCTTAATTCCATTAACCCCCTGCAAGTCATAATGACTCCGCATCTAGAACCCCATCAGTTCGTGGGAAAAAAGATCCTGCATGGGCACATGTTGCCTTAAGAAAAGAGGGCAACAAAAATGTGTATATATGTCTTTATTGTGCATTGAGCTATAAAGGAGGTGGAATAAATAAATTGAAGCATCATCTTGCTAGTGTAAGTAAAAATGTAGTTTCTTGCAACAAAGTTCCTTTTGATGTTCGTCATCAGATGCAAGAATCATTGAAAAGTGGGGAAAAGAGAAAGCTTGCTGTTGTACAAGCAGACATGGGGCAACATGTGTCTAATGCTAATAAACCCAGTGCACCTACTCCATCTAAGTCAATCCCTAAGAGTAGTGCTAGTTAAAAAAAAACCTCCTACTATTCTAGTTGAAAATTATTTCGCTTCTAAGACAACTTTAGGTTCTTAACCAGGCATTAAGAGTGCATTTGCAACTAAAGAAGCATAACACAATGCAAAAATGGCCATTGCTGAATGGGCTATCATCAATTGCATTCCATTAAATGCATTAGATTGCCATTTCTTTCAAAAAGCTGTAGATGCTATTGCTTCAATTAGGCCGAGGTTTAAGGATCTTAATACTTATGAATTTAAAGTTAACTTGTTGAATGATTGGAAAAAAGAATGTGAGCTACTTATTGAGAGTCATCGATGTAAATGGAAAACTTATGGATGCACATTCATTGCTGATGGTTGGACAGAGGTAAGGCAACGAACTTTGATAAATTTTCTTGTCTATTCTATACATGGCATAGTATTTGTGAAATCTATTGATGCTTCTGATTTAGTGAAAGATGCCAAGACTTTATTCTCATTGTTTTCTAAAGTGATTGAGTGGGTTGGTCCCAAAAATATTATGCATGTGACTGATAATGCTGCTAATTATATAGCATGTAGCAAATTGATTAAAGATAAATATAAAAGTATTTATTGGTCACCTTGTGCTGCTCATTGCTTGAATCTCACTTTGAAAGACATTGCAAGCATGTCTCATGTGTCACAACTTGTAACAAAGGCATCAAAGATCACTATATTTGTTTATAATTATATGGTCTTCTTGTCATGGCTTAGGAAAAGAAAGGGTTGGAAAGAAATTATGCGTCCCAGTGTGACAAGGTTTGCTACAACATTTATCACATTGCATAGCATATATATGCACAAGCATGATTTGCAAGCTTTAATCACTGATAAGTATTTTGTGGATCACAAATTATCAAGGACCGAAGCCGGAATAATTGTTAGTGCCATCATATTAGATAATTAGTTTTGGAATGAATGTCTTGAAATTGTGAAGATTGTGTCTCCTCTCATAAAATTGTTGAGAATTGTTGATTTAGATGAGAAGCCTTTTTTGCCTTATGTTATGAAGGCATGCAAAAGGAAAAAAAAGCAATTAAGGCAATTTTCAACAATAAGAAGGATCAATACAAGCCTTACACAGACATTATTCAAGCCCGATGAGATAAGCACTTGAAGACCACTCTTCATGCAGCAGCATATTTGTTGAACCTTGCCTTCTTGTATGATGATGACTTTGTTCACAAGAGAAGGTTAATGGATGCTATGCTTTCAGTGTTTGAGTCAACTGAAAATGAAGATGTTGATTATATTGTGATGATGAAGCAATTGAGCTTGTATCGTGATCGTAAAGAATCTTTTGATAAAGCTTCATGTCATAGAGCAGCACAGAAACTAAACCCTTGTAAGTATTAATATTTAACATGGTCATGATAATTTTATTTATCATATAACATATAACTAGTTGTCCTTTATTTGCAGATGAATGATGGTCATTTTATGGAAGTTCTGTTCCAAAGTTGCAAAATCTTGCAATGTGTATTCTTAGCCAAACTTCTTCTTCCTCTAGTTGTGAGAGAAATTGCAGCTTGTTTGAACGCATCCATACCAAAAGAAGAAATAGATTGGAACATCAAAGACTAAATGATTTAATCTTTGCAAACTACAATCTACAATTGAAGCATAGGAAAAAATGAAAGTTATGAATGTTTTTAATAAATATGAATTTTATTACTATTTTATGGTAGATATATACTTATATTTGATTGCTTTGACCTCATCAAAGGAGCTAATTGAAGAAAAAGACAAGTTTTAATCCAATTGATTATGAATCTATTGACAAATTGGACTTTTGGATTGTTGAAGAGGAACAAGAGCCAGCTCTAGAGTTTGATGCGGATAATGTCACTAATATGGAAAGTGCTATGCATAATGAAAATGTTGTTGCTTCATTAGCTTTTGAGAGAAATAATGAAGGTTCATACTTACTAACATGTCTATATTGCATAATATATAATTATTTTTTACACAATGATTAATGTTAATTCTTGTCATAAATAGGTGAAGAAGATATCAATATTCTAGAGCATCCACATTTGATTGATGATGTTGGAAGTGGTTTAGGTTTCTCTCAATCATCTCCTAATGTTTCAATCCCTACTCCTGGAGATTTGAATGAAATTAATGAAGATTTTAGTGTTAATTATTATTAGCTTTAGACTTTTTGATGATTAAAGGACTGTAATGATGAATATTTTAAATGTTGTATTTTTAATGATGTTTTGATGATTGTGTTAGACTTGTATGTGGTATTGTATAAGATACTAAGTCTTATAGAATTTATTTTTATTTAAATCATATTATTTTATTATGTTCGGTTTGAACCCGGGTTGACCCCCGGTTGAACCCCTGACCCCTATCCTTGACCGATTCAATAGCCAGTCCGATTTTTAGTACCTTACTTTTCTCAAAGCCTATCTGATTTATATGTTATTACTTCTAGAATTTAGAAATTGTAGTCAAATCTACGTACTTTACTTCCTAACTTCTCCTCAATTCCTAAACTAAACTTGTAAATTTCAATCAATAGAAAAGCTTAATAGAAAATTTCAATCAACAAAAGAAATCAAAGCCATGGATAACGAATAGTCACAGGCCAAAATCAATCAGGGCTAGGACCATAAATAAGCAACACAAGAACAAAGAAAGATTAAGAATCTAAAGAAGCAAGAGAGAGAGTATAGAAAAAAGAAACTTACAAGTGTGAAAGAGGCAAACAAAGATGGCAGTACCCTCCGTGAATCCCTTTAGCACTTTCATCTTTAATTTCACCGCATGCCTCAACATTATTGACCAGCTAACCGAATGCATAAAAACATCATTACTCATATTAATTTACACACATTGAACAATTAAATTCATTCATTAGATTTCATGCAATCCAATAGGGCCATCGATATATTTTTCAAAAAATTACTATTGTTTTCTACATATTGCAAACAAAAATTCTCATGTATGAGCAATACAATGATAAAGAAATTAATGACATTAAGATAACCAACAGATAGTACTCTTTTCGATGCTAAATGTATGAAAACAACCAAACACAAAGAATCAAAATAAGCAAAAAGACCATAAACATTGCCAAGTCAGAAGTATTTCAAACTTCAAGAATTCAATCTTTAGAGGAATACTTTCTAGATTCTAAAAGAATGTAAGCAATAAGGTAAACTAGCTAGGAAAAGACTAATCACAATAGGTTATCCCTTACTAGTCTAAGTGTTTGAACTCAACGCTCAATGCATTTGTTGGATTGTGTCTCACTCAATTTTATATATTGCAATCCATCTACCATAAATTTGTTTCTCATCCCAATCTCTACTTTGCCATTTCATTGCACATACAAATTAAAAGGACTTTATCAAGAGTCATAATCTTAGAAGCACCGATATGCGAAAATGGCCGGCGTGTCCGTGTCAGATACGTATTCGACACAAACATGCATTCAGGACGAGGGGACAGTGCATCCCTTTTCTCAATTTTTGGCAGACGCGAGCAGATGCGGGTCGAGACGGGTTGACAGGGGCGGACAAAGGTCGGACGTGAGCTAACATGAAACTCTATATTTTTCACCTCTTTTTACTCAGTCCCAACTCCAGAAACCTGATGCCCTAAGATATTCATCTCCAGTCGACCCCCTTCTCGTGTTTTCCACTCTATCGCTCACTGCCTGTGTCAATCACTGTATCGTTCTTCAACCCTATATCATTCTGAGTCAGATGCGTTTTCACTTCTCACTTCGTACGCTGCCTCACTCTCACGTCTTCGACCTCATCGTTCTTCAGTCTGCAGTCTTCTGCTTCAATCTTAGTAATTTATTCAGCTTCAATCTGAGCTCTGCCTCAATGTCTTCGACCTCGTCTCTATCTCTTCTGCTCTTCACTTTTTTATTGTTCAATGTTGTGTTGCTGCCTGATGGATATTTATTGGGATTATTGCATTGCTGGATAATGAATATTTATTGCTCAATTCTTCACTGCTGAACCGAGAGAGGCAGAGCAACTGATCCGTTTTTCAAATTTAATACTGAATTACTAATTTAAACTTTTTTTTATTTAGATGGATTATTTTGTTGAGTTAAACATTGATTTATTTTAAATTTTTATTGGCTCTCTTCATGTTAAAATTTTTATTAGAATTACTTTAAGTTGATAATTATTTTTTGCCACTTGATAGTGTTTAAGTGCTTAACTATTTATTGTATTATATTTTATGATGGCATTAGATATCTTGAAATTGTATTTTTAGACATCCAAATATTTAATATTTAATTATTTATATAGCCATACCTATATCCTAAAATTTTGAAAAATAGCCGTGTCCACTCGTATCGTATCGTACCCGACACTCATAGCCGTATTGGTGCTTCTTAGGTCATAATGTGTGAGGATAAATTTGTTTCTCATCCCAATCTCTACTTTGCCATTTCATTGCACATACAAATTAAAAGGACTTTATCAAGAGTCATAATGTGTGAGGTTAGATGAAGTGAAAGTGATGAAAGGGTAAAACCATGAACTGTAGTTTGTGCCATTGTTTTTAAAACCAGACCAGTCGATCAGACTGACAAATCAGCGAACCAACCGTGCATCCAGTTTGGTTTTCTGTTTCAAGGTGGACACAGTTGACCCGAGCCCGCCTAAGCCCATGGGTCAGGCAGGTTGGGTGGCCTGATATTTAAAGAAAAAAAAGGGCTGAAACGATAAAGAAAGAGAACCCAAATGGAAGAAGAATGAAGAAATGTATGAAGATCTGGCAAAATGAGGAACAAAAATGAAAGAAAAATGAAAAAAAAACTAGACTTTATTGTTGAAATTAAACTCGATGCTCGACTGCCCCAGTGAAGCTTAACAACACGATCTTGCCTTCCATAATAAAATGCCGAAGCTAATCCCTCGCTGTCGCCTGACACAGATTTTAAATGGAAAGGTGAGAGCATAATAACAAATAGAAAGGACAGAGGAAATAGCCTTCAGAATCGCGGCTTGCTGACAAGGGCACGTTGCTCTCACTTGTCATGTCTATTCAACGGCGATACTACCTTCTTCTGCTCAGTAGAAAGGAGGGAGGAAATAGCCACATAAAAGAAGAATTGAAAAGAAGTGAGTGACTCCTTCACAGCATCCAACACTCTTTTTTTGCTACAACAGTACACGTATCCATTGTTTATTGCTCCGGCTCAGGCTTTTTTGTTTTTTTCATCCTAGACTTAACCTCTAGAAATCTATAACAACATTATTTATTATTTACACATTTAAAAAACTCTTTATTTTTTCATATACAAATATTAATAGTAATTAATTATTAAAGTATAATATTTTATATTTTATCAAAATAATATAATATTTCATTTTATTTTTAAATGAAATTATATTTCCTATATCTTTAATATTATAGACTAGTTTTTATTTTTTTAATCTGCAAATTTTTCTCAATTTAATCTTATTACTAGGTAAATTTCTTGTTTTTAAAATATTTTTATTTGAATTAATCTATGTAAAATTAAAAATAAATTAGTTTCTATGCTCCTAGTTTCACTCCCGGTTGAACCCCCAACCCTTGATATTGACTGATTCAATCATGGCTCAATTTTCAGTATTTTAATTTGTGCTAAGCATCTGTATGAAGAAATTCCAAACATGGGGTGAACTCATTCACTCAAACCAACATGCAATTGTGAGGATCAACTTTTATCCTTTCCCTTATCTTCTTCTTTCACTGTTTACTTCTATTTTTCTGAACTTTTTTCCTTTCCTTTCCTTTTTTTTTTTTGAATATATACACCAAAATTTAGAGCTCAACATGATAATTTTAATTGCTTCTATTCCTTGAATTCCTTCACTAGATCGTAATGCTTGGCATGTTGTAAAGTAATGGTAAGAGGGAAAATTGTGTTGCTTTGGACAAAAGGGCTATTTTTTTTCTTTTTTTATAGAAATAAGATGAAGGCACAGTTGGGTGAAGCAAAGGATTTGTGTAACAAACCCCAGACCCTCAGATAAAATTGCCCATCAAAGGGCAGAATGACAAGTGCTTAAGCACATTGGTAACCAGAAACATAAAGCATGTCTTAGATAAGCAGCAAAAACAGGGCAAGGTCTATGAAAAGCAGGTAACCTTAGAAATACAGAGTAATCGCACCAATTAAATGTGCATAACAATAAAGCATTTAGAACTATCTCAGATAAGTAGCAAAAACATGACAAAGTCCATTAAAAGCAGGTAACCTCAGAACTATAGAGCATTCCCACAAGTTAAATGTGCCTAACAGTAAAGTATTCAAAATAATCAGACCAAATCTTTCTCAAAACAGAGAATTCATCATGCGAAGATCTACAGAACTCAACCCAAACAACATTCAAAGCAACCAAATATGCACAGCATCCAGGGATTTGAACAATCACATTAAAACCCAAGAACATGCCCTACTTAGTGATTATGCATAAATGAGATATAATGGAGCGGGATACTGACCGGTAGTGCGGTCGACCGAAGCAAACACAACAAGGAGGAGTTTAATTGCACGGAAAATTGGGAAACTAAACACACCAACAGAATGATAAAAACAGATATAGGGGAAAAAACCCGAGAGGGCAACCGAGAACCCCAATTGCGTCAACTAGATGGAAAGCAAACTCGAGCAAGTGAAAGGGAAGATGCGACACAGAGAAAACGAGAACAGCCCCCAGCATAACGACAGAATGGATGGATGAAACAGGAACTAACGTCGACGGCACTAATAGAGATGAATCAATGGTGAACAATAGAACCATGATGCCAAGAAGAGATGGGAGAACACGGTAAAAGAAGGTGGACGAGATGGGGTGAGCAGATGCGAAGAATGGGAGGCTAGGTCTAGAAATAAAATGAAAGCTATGAAATGGAGAAGCCACAAGTGAGGATCGAAGTAAAGATTAACTCACAGGGATTAGGGAATCAAGATACTTTCGCCAGAGTTTAGTCATTCATGTCTCCCACTACAGTCACACCGATGCTGCTTATTCAAACAAGACGACAGACTCTAATGTTTCCTCTCTCACGGATTCAAGTAAAAAGTGATATTATTTCGGCCTTCTAGCCTTTTGAAATTGGCAGCAGCGAGTGAAGTGTGTTTGGATGTTGATGGATCGTTACGTATTGGAATTGATAAATGTGAAAGGGTCTGTAGGGAGTAGGGACTGCCAATTCAATTTGTGTGCCAGCAACTTGGGTTGACATAAAACAAATTGATTTTTTTTAGCTCATTAGGGTATATTTGTTTTTCAATTTAAGTTATAATTATTATTTATATAATTTATTATAGTTTTAATTTTTATTTTTTTTCTAAACTAATGAATGAACCAATATATTCTAAAAAAATTAAAACTAATTTTATTTTAATTTGTAAGTAGTGAGAAATTTCAAGAATGTTTATATTTTTAATTATATATGAGAATAACACATAACAAATAAAAAGTTGTTATTTATATTTTAATTTATAAAAGCAATAAGTGATAGATCTAATAATATTTGTTGAAGGATAAATTTTCTTCTAAAAGGGCAGAACTTAATAATAAATTGTTTTTAATTAGTTTCAAGATTTTTCTTATATTAATCAAAAGTAGAGATAGAAGACTAACATATTCATTCTGAGGCAACACTTTCAAAATAATAATAAGTTAAGATAAACTATGCTGTTAAATAAATAAGGTCTCATGTATGGACTTGCTTGCCTCTCCCCCTATGAAAGCCTCATGCTCTACTACTGAAAAGAGAAGCAAGAAATGTTAAAAAGATAAATAAATATTTATTTAAAATAGATACCTGATTTTATTTTAAATGTGTTGTTACAAAAATGAATGTGTTAACCTTTTATACTTGTAGATATGAGAAAATTTTCAAATTAAAATAAAAAATAATTTTATTATTAAGTTGTACATATAAAATTAATTAGTTTTAATAATTTAGTTATTTTTATATATAAGTAATTTACACATTACGTACTTCAATACTCTATTAATTGTACAGTATCAAAATAAAAAAAGGAGAAATGTCAATTCGTTTCACTCAACTAATGTTTCTTATTTTATTAATTAAACTTGCTTCAAATTTTTTTCTTGATGATTTAATATTTCTTATTCAAAGGATAACTTATTCCAATTTTCTTTGGCAAAAGGCATTCCAAATTTGTTGCACATAAAACTCTTTTGCCTTTATTACCTACTGCTATGTTATTTTTCTTTTTTCTCGAATGATTATGTTTATTTTTTTGGTTCCTTGGTTCTGCGTTCACACACACACATTTGCACTTATGATTATGATGGAGTTCAAATTTATATATTTTAAATCTTTAATTATCTTTGCAAAATTCACTATGCTAGATTGGATTTTATAATTTATGGTGCTAAATTTTCTTATGTTTGGATTAGGTAGAATGAAGGGTTATGCAAAATGATATTACCAAGGATTTGGAGCATTTCATGTAATGTATAGCATCATTCTAGAAGATAATGAATGAAAGTATTTATAAATTAATGTGGATCAAATTGAAAAGGCCCCATATTAGGTTTATTTATGTGACTATTTTTATACATAAGTAGTTTACTTGTACCTAAATAATATGTTAATTGTGTGGTATTAATTTCAAAAATGAGTTATATCATTTTGCTACACATAGAATTAGTGTTTCTTTTTTTAAGCTCACATCAAATATTTTTCTTGACAATTTAAATATTTTTTATTTAAATGGTGATTTAAATATTAATTTTTTAAAGTAATTGTTGGGTAATTCATTTTGAATTTCAAACTGTAGAGTTGAATTTTTATCATTTGTAAAAATTAAATTTATAATTTTATTATAAATTCTTTATTTATATTTTTATTACAAGTTTGACATTTATAATAAAAAAAGTAGATAGATTAAAACATAATTTTAAAATTATGATTGACTATATTTATCTGCAACATTCAATGTTAGTAATTTAAATATTTTAACCTCACATCAAATAATTTAATTCTGTCATTTTGTTGCACATAGAACCAATATTTTTTTTAAGCTCACAACAAATTTTTTTCTTGATAGTTTAAATATTTTTTTAAATGGTGATTTAAATATCTATTATTTAAAATAATTGTTAGGTAATTCACTTTGAATTTCAAATTGTAGGGTTGAGTTTTTATCATTTGTAAAAATTAAACTTATAATTTTATTATAAATTATTCATTTATATTTTTATTACAAGTTTGACATTTATAATAAAAAAAATAGATAGATTAAAACATAACTTTAAAACTACAATTGGTTATAGTTGTTTGCAACATTCAATGCTAACAACTTTAATATTTTAAAATAAAATTTTAATTTTTTTTAAAAATAGTTGGTTTACTATAAAATTATAGTGATTTATCTTAAATTTAAATTTGTTAAATGACCTAAATCTACTTATTTAATGAGTATATCAATTATATCATTAAATAATATTAATACTTAAAAATTATCAAAATGTATTTTCTTATACAATTTTAAAATAACTCTCAAAATGAAAAGACTCCTCACATTTGTTGTCTTTTTAAAAAAGGAAGAATTTCATTTAAGGAACTAAGAAAAAATATATTTTTTGGTGGGTCCCAAAAAATTCTAAAACTTTAGTTCAGTCCTCAGAGATTAAATTAAAAATAAATTGAATGTAAAAAAGATGAAAATACCCTTAGTTCAAATATTTTTTTAAAAAAATACCAATCACCGTCGCTGGTGGCTGGAGAATTATGAAGAATTAATTTCTCCAAAGGTAACCAAGGTGAATGTAAAACCCATGACCTCTTTGTTCATTAAAAGATTTTCGACCACCAAGCCATTCAACCCATTCAATTTTATTATACAAAAAATTATATATATAGTAAACCTTGTTTCCAAACCATTTGATTATTACGTTACTTGTTAATTGCGTAACTTTACTTGTTAATACCTTAATAAGACTTGTTAATTACTTAACTTTTCCTGTTAACCCTATGACTCCAACAACAGAATTAAATTACTTGTTAATCGCTTAACTACATTTGTTAATACCTTAACAAGACTTATCAATTACTTAACTTTCTTTGTTAAATTCGGAACTCCTGCAAACAGTACATTACTTATTAACTAAATAACTTTATTTATTAATACCTTAACAAAACTTGTTAATTACTTAATAACTCCAAACAACAGAACTAAATTACTTGTAACTGCCCATTTGAATTTCAGTTGGGTATAATAGATTATGAAAATAATTAATTAAGTGGTAGATTTTAATCATAATTGATAATGTTATAATGCAATATGTTTGGATACTATTTTTTTAAAATTAATTTTAATAGAATTGAAGATGTTTAGATAATTTAATTAGAATTAATTTTAGCTATATAAATTACTATATAATTTAATTCTTAAATACCAAACATCAATTTTTTGAGGATATAAAGTTTGAATTTTATTAAAAAAAAAAAGTTAAGAGAAGAGAGTTTAGTTTTATTTTTATTTAATGTTGTGCCTTGTTTATAATTTTTTCTTGGGCTTTTCTTTATAATTTTTCCCAACACTTTTGATTAACTTTTTGTGGAAACCTAATAAGAGAGCTTACAAAAAAAAATGCACGTTTAAGCCAATAATCAATTTTTGATTTTTTTTTGGTTGTTTGGATAACTTGGCTCAAAAAATTGATTTTGGGCTAAAAAATTAATTATTACTCTTATCCAAACAGATACTCAATACTTTAGCAAGATTTGTCAATTACTTAACTTTTTTTATTAAGTCCATAACTTCCACAACAGTATATTACTTGTTAATCACATAACTGTACTTGTTAATACTTTAACAAAACTTATTAATATGTTAACAAGACTTGTTAATTACTTGAATGTACCTGTGAAATCAATGACTTCTTCAACTAAACTACATTACTTGTTAATCATATAACTTTACTTGTTAATTACGCAACAATAATTGTTAATTGCATTACTTAACTTGTTAATACCATAACAAGACTTGGTTAACTGTTGTTCCGAAAAAGCAACTAAATTACTTGTTACTTGCATAATTTGTTAATTTCTCAACAATGCTTGTTAATTATCTATTGTCACTTATTAAATGAATATATAATTTACATTAAAAACTTGAGTTTGTTAGATAACAAAAGCGATGATAGTCAAGTCCTCCTTATCAGTATTCATCAAACTAGCTAGATACTCAATTATATAAGTATATATATCTATATATATATATATATAGAGAGAGAGAGAGAGAGAGCAATACCCTTAAAAAATATATTATTAACAATTAAAATTAAAGAAATGACAAGCTATATTAGGCTTTTAACAAATATACTTCTTGTCATAATACTCAAGAGGTTTGAAAATAAGATTTATTATATAAATAATTTTGAGGGAGTCACAGAATTAACTAGTAAAGTTGCGTAATTAACAAGTGAAGTTGCACAATTAACAAGTATTATTATATAATTAACAAGTAATGTAGTTCAGTTGAAGGAGTTATGGATTTGACAAGTAAATTTAAATAATTAAAAAGTTATGTTAAGGTATTAATAAGTACAGTTACACAATTAATAAGTAATATAGTTATATTGTGGGAATCACAAACTTAACAAGAAAAGTTAAGTAATTGATAAATTCTGTTAAAGTATTAATAAATATACTTGTGAACACCGTATTTTGTCCGGGCATTTTTTTTTTAATTTTAATAATAAAAAATCAAAAAATATAAAAAATATAAAAATGAAATTTAATCCTTTTAGGATTATATTTTCAAAAAAAAAATCTTGCTCAATTTTTTTTAAAAAAAATCTCTCTCAAATTATCCCAACCATTCAAAGATATTGGGAATCAATTTTTTTTTTAGACTCAACTTTTTTTTTAAATTTCTCTCCTTAAATTTTTTCCATTTAAAAATATGTATTTTAAAACTAAACTTTTCTTTCTCTCCCTCAATCTAATTAACAAAAAAAAAAGCATTAAAGAATGGCTAAAAAAAAAAGGAAGAAAGCATCAGAACACACGCACACACATACTCTTTCGGCCATGTGCAGAAAAAGAAGAAAACAGCAGAAAAGAGACACGAAATGCAGAGACACAAAATGCAAAAACAGCAAAGAAATGCAGAAACAGCGAAGAAACACAGGCACAGAGACGCAGAAATAAAATAAGCATACACTTTCGGCCATGTAGCAGGAAAAAGGACAGAAACAACAGAATGCACGAGCTGCAGACGCTGAAAGAAACAGCAAAAAACAGACATGAAACGCAGAAGAAGCAAAACAGAGCATAAAGAACAGTAAGCAACCGGAACACGTACGCATATACTTTCGGCTGGCAGGAGAAAAGAAACAGAACTAAGGATGCACGCATGCATGAAGGAAATGGCACAGCAGAGAAAACAGACGGGACAGCACAGAAAATAGAGACAGAAATGCAGAAAAACAGAGCAGACTTCGGCGCACACAGAAAACGCAGCAGAAAGGAAAAGCGGAGCAGGAAAGCAATGATTCACCTCTTCCATCCCCTATATAAGACTGAATGAAATACAGAGGGATGGACAGTTTTTTGGACTGAAAGAAAGGAAGAGAGAAACAGACAGACAGAAGAAACAGAAAACAGAGCACAAAAAAAAAACGAAGGAGAAGAGAAGAGAAGAGTGACCGAGAAGGAGGGGGGAAGCAACGTAAAAATATATACAGAGGAGAGAGAGGACCGAAAGAGGTGAAACAGAGGCTGAGAAAGGCTATTCCGGCTGGAACAAAGTAGAGGAAACGAAGAAGAGGAGTGCGTTTTTTTGGCTGGAGAAAGGAAGGAGAAACGTACGTACGGAAGAAACAGAAAACAGAGCACAAAAGGAAAAGAAGAGAAGAGGCGGAGAGGAGAAAGAAGAAACAGAAACGGAGAGGAGAAAGAAGAGGCTGAGACAGATCTGGACGTCCCATACACGCAGGTTCTTGCTTCTGAATCCAAAATATACGTGTTTAATTTCTGTTTACTATTCCAAAATGGATTTCATGTTTAAATGTTTTGTCTCATATTTTTCAGCTCCCAAGTGATTTCATTGCAATTGTCATATTTTTTTTTAAGAAAAGAGGGTTTGAAAAAGAAATAATAAAGAAATTGCAAATGATAATTTTTGTTTTCTATCATAGCTAAGCTAAATTTGATTATTAGGCACAATTTCATTTCAAATACAGAATTAGTGTAATTATTAAGCGAGGTCTTTTAATGTGTATATTAACATGTATGAGCATTATTTTTTTATCTCCATTAATTCTAAGGTCCTTTACTTGTCAATAATATTGTTACACTCATACCGTATGACACTTTCTATCCACATGTACAATTGTATAAAAGATTAAGAGGAGAGAATTCAATTCTCATCTAAAAAAAACAAATGAATAAGAGAAGGTTTCTTGTATTTTATTAACTTGCCGTGTGAGATTTTAAGAATTTTCGCAGGCATTTAAAGTGATCTTATACCGTGTAAATCAATAAGATTTCGTAGGTATAGAGATCCAATTTATATGTACAATCAATGGTTTCAATGACCAACCGTTAAAACCAACTGTCTTTTTATAATCTAAATAATCCATTTAAGTTCCGTGTAAGATTACGAGAATCTTTGTAGAGACTTAAATTAATCATATTATCGTGTGGGATAATAAATCCTCGCAGATATAGTGATCATCCATTTTTATAATAAATAAATAATTTTTGTAAATAATCATATAGTATACAATTTAAGAAACTTAATTAACCAAATTAATATATTTAAATTGTAACCATATTTACCAATTATATCTTTTAGTCATGTGAGATTTTTGAATCTCCGTAGGCTTCTAAGATCATCGTGTTATCGTGTGAGTCAATAAGACTCTGCAGATATAACGATTTAGTTTTTAAAATATATATACATATATATTATATAATTAATTAAATCAATTAATTAAATTTAATTCCTGTATCGTGTGAGATTTTAGAATCTCCGTAGATATTTAGGATAATCATATTACCGTATAAGTCAATAAGGCTTTGCAGGTATGATGATTAAAATTCTTCAAAACATGTATATACATACTTAAAATATATTTTTAATACTTAAAATGTACATAAGAATATAAATAAATAAATTAAATTGCCAAACTCTTCTATCATGTGAGATTTCAGAATCTTCGCAGATACTTAGAGCAATTGCATTACCGTATGAATCAATAAGGTTCTACAGGTACTGCAATTAAATTTCTAATCATAAAATATAAAGAAAAATAATTTTAAACCCTTTCCTTTCTTTATTCCAAAATTCAAAAATCCAGAAAATAATTAAAATTAAATTACCTTTTGCAATTTAAAACACACATATCAAAATTTCAGAAATTGTTTTATTTGCAAAATGGTGAATTATTTATAATTAATTTCTCTTCAAAAAAATATGTTTATACCAACAACTTTTAAGCCCGAACTACGTGGACTTTGATCCCCATCACAGGGTACGTAGGCCTCAGAGTCAGATTCTGAGTCAAGTCCGTCCTCCCTCGTAAATAAATAAACATTTCTCACATAATTCTTATCATTTTTATCAAACACATGAATACAAGAGGGATAATTAAAATAATTATAAAACCATACTAAAAGAGCACAACAAACTTCAGGTAACTGTTCTGACGAACGGGTGTTGTGGGGTGCCTAACACCTTCCCCATACTCAACCGACTCCCGAACCTATTCTCTGATTACGCAGATCATCCTTATCCTCCATTTAATCGGTTTCCCGAGATTTACCTCAAAATCTTGGTGGCGACTCCTCGTTCGATTCGGTTCCCGCCGCGAAGGCCGGGGCCTCCGCTCGCGCGCCGTCCGCGTCGCATTTTTACGGGTGCGACAGTTGGCGACTCCACTGGGGAAAATATGAGAGTCAAGCCTGTATAAATTTGTTGTGCTCAAAATATATATGGTTTTTCTTTTATTATTATTATCCCTTTTAATTTGTGTGGGTTTTTTCCCTTCCTTTTTTTTTCCTTCTCTCTCTCTCTCTTTTGATTCTTATAACATGTCTTAGGATAGATAACATGCGGAATAAACCTTAAGATAGATGACTTTTATTTGTACACATATTTGTTTCTCTATTTGATCTGATTAAAAGTTGGGAGTTGGGTAGCATATGAGAATAAGATAGCATGCTTGCATGCTCTCATCACACTATACACTTACACAATTTGACACACATATTTTGGGCCCTATACCCGGGTCTGTGAGTACTATAGGTTAGTAGAGGTTAGTAGTGGTTTCCCTGTGGAGTTTTTGAACTCTCGGAGGTTACCATGAATACCTCACCCAAGCTGTTACTTGCCTAATAAATTTGGTCCCTGTAGAGCTTATGTTCTCGGAGGGCCAAAATTATTAAGTAAGGTCTTCACCTTTGTGTGAGGGCATCTTGGGAGCCTTTTAGGAATATACATCCACCCGTGAATTACACGTTTCAGACAACAGCTAGTAGCCAACCATTCTAGTGAGCACCCGATTATGAACTTAAGTCTCCTGAATAGGACGCAGGATGAGAGTATTGATCTTTTATTGCATCATTGTCATAGCATGTCATCATAAAGTATTCGCATTTTTAAAAAAAAACCACAAATTAAATAATTTCTCTTGTCATTGAGTTATTTCATTTTTAAAGTTGAGACTTTAGCCATGTGTCAGTTTTAGCTGCACATAGGCTAATTAATCCCTTTCTCCCTATGGGGCAATAAGCACATTGAGGAGAGAATGGATTTTTTCCTTGCATATCTATTATCAAAATCATTTTTATCATTTTTTTCTCTTTTCTCAAAAATAAGATTGTAAGGCTAAACCTTTCAACATTAATCATGTAGGGGATTTAAGCCTCTCGTCCATTAATTGTTTACTCCATCTCCCTATGGTGCAATAAGTATCTGGAGGAGAGGGTTTTCAAAAAAGTGAGCCAGATAGCTTGCTAAAATTATGAGAATTGTATATTATTAACCTTTGTTTTGATTAACAGGAACCGTGAGTTATCCAGAATCTTTGTGAAATTGGCATAAGGGATAAATGGCACTCGAAGGTAGTACAAATCTAAGTCATACTGGAAAATTATATCAGGGAAAAGGGATCAAATTATCTGTAAAAGTTGAGCCGCTGGAAACCTTAATTGAGTTGAGCCGTCATATCAAAGGGAAGATTATGCAAGATTTTAAAAGGAAATATGGAAATATCTTGGATCTTCTGTCAGTCACAATACATAATGATGCAATAATGGAATTAAGCCAATATTGGGATGCCTCGTTAAGATGTTTCACATTTCAAGACTTCCAAATGGCACCGACTTTGGAAGAATATGGAGAAATTTTGAGAATGCCCCTTAAGGAGAACATGGCAGTATATCTTTATCCTGGATATTTACCATCTCGAGGCACGATAGCGAAAATTTTGGAAATTCCTAAGGAAAAGGTACGAATGGTTTGCCCAGGACAAACAGAGGGAATCTCAAGAGCTGATGTAGAAGCCCACTTGAAAGTTTTGGCAGGAAAAGAGGCTTGGGTTACATTTTGCAGAGTCTTTGCCTTATGCATATATGGAATAATCCTGTTTCCATCATCAATTGGCATAATTGACTTAGGAGCCATTAGTGTATTCCAAATGGTGGAATACCATAACGTGAATCCGGTACCAGCAATCTTGGCAGAAACGTACTTGACCTTAACTCAATGTCACAATAAAGGGAAAGGAAAGGTCAATTGTTGTATTGCATTACTGGATTTATGGATGCTTGGCCACCTTTATGGAAAGACGCTTCCTTTCAGAAAGAAGAACGACTCAGACAGTAATCCACTCATGTCTTTTAAAGGCCAATTCGTGATTGACGGAATGAGCTACATGGATTGGAAAAGAACCTTCTCAGAACTTAAAGAAAGTTCCATTTTATGGAAACTAGACTGGTGGTGGAAAGAGGAGGTTATTTACCATTGTGGTGACTTTCCGAATGTGCCTTTAATGGGACCCAGAGGGTGTATCAACTATAACCCTTCCTTAGCGTTAAGGCAACTGGCCTATAAGCAAAATGTTCCTTCTAAGAAAGAGGTGCAGGAGTTATACTTTCTACATAAGGAGGATGGGACAAAGTTATCAAACCAGAATGTCAAAGAAGCATGGCAAGAGATAGGTTACAAAGGAAGATTGAGCTAGGGATACGTGTAGTAAACTCAAGTCCAGAATACACTACTTGGCTGAAGAGTATGATTCAAGGAGCAAATCCTTTATTTCATCCTCAAAATCCCTTGTTAGGCAATGACTTGAAAGAGATTAATGGGCAATTGGTTGAATGCTTGAAGATGAAGGAAAATGAGTTACAAGCGCTTGCTAACTCAGAGTCTAAGAATAAAGAAGAATTGGAAAAATACCAAAACGAATGCGTTGAGTTACGGAGGAAGCTAGCAAAGGAAAGAGAAGGGCATAACCTTGAAGAAACACCTGAGACTAAGAAATTGAAAAAGGAAAATGCCAAACTGAAAAGGGAAGTGCAAACTAGTGATAACAAAGTTCAAAGTACTAAAGCAAGACTTGTCAAAATAGTCAGAGAAAATGATGCATTGAAGAAGGAATTACAAGACATCAGACCCATTGAGGAGATGCAGCAAGAAATCAATACGCTCACAAGACAATTGGAAAGGAAGGTGAATGAACTAGCCAGGGTGAGAGGAAGTGCAGCTGAGACAGCACAGAACTTTGTTCAGAGGCTTAATCAACAAAATGAAGTCTTAGAAGAGTGGAAATCACTTTGCCTTGATCAAACAGAAGAAACCAAAGAGTGGATGTTAAAATGTAGGCAGATAATTGATTTGGCTAATGACAAAATTCCAGAATTTGCAAGAGCATTTAAGCAAGCTGAAGGCATGGTTCTCCCTGGAGGAACTCCATTAGAGATTGTTGAATTCTTCCATTTGTGCAATGAAATTGTAAAAGAACTCAATAGCGTGACAAAGTTCTAAATCTGTATTAACATTTGAATCATTGTATGAGGATCCAGATGACGCTTTGTGGTTGTGAAATTGTTGATTGATTTGTACTACCATCATTGTCTTAAAACCTTGAATTTTGATAGGATCCAATGTCCTTCTAATTCAATGGTCAACTTTGAATCCCCTATGAAATAATAAATTTCTGGAGGAATTTAAAGGGTGCTAGTGTCGTGAAACCCTTATGTCTACACAATGCTGGATATCTTACAAAACAAACGTAAAGGTAAAACTTATTAAAATTAATTATTATGTTACACAGGTAAGCCAACATTGCGCCTCGAAAGAAAAACTCGGTTGACCAGATTCCCGCCACTGGAGCATACAACACACGATCGCGTAGTCGTGCAATGGAAAATTCAAACGTGAATGAGTCAGCGACCTTAAATGATCGGATGTCTGCAGTGGAGTCTAAAATGGCCGAAATAAGTGACATGATGAAATTGCTAACAGAGGCTCTAAAAGGACGGAGTGATGATAACCCACCACAGAATACCGTAGCAGATGAGAACGCAGCTAATAGAACAATTGAGCCAAACAGAAGATCAGATCCTAAAGTACCCACGCCAGAGAAACAAGATTCTGGGATAGGGGCCTTTAACATACCGGATGGTCCTGGGGAAGATCATGCCTACATGTTCCAAATCCCACAAGTGCTACATAAAGAGAAGGAGTTGAAAGAAGAACTTGGAGAGATGAAAGATCAATTGAAGGCTCTTCAAGGATCAAACACGTGGGGTTCCTTAGACTTGAAAGAATTATGTTTGACCCCAGAAATTGATGTTCCCAAGAAATTCAAGATGCCAAGCTTCGATAAATATGATGGTACAAGTAACCCAATTTATCATTTGAGGGCCTATTGCACAAAGATGTCCATATGGTCACAAGATGAGAAGTTTCTGATAAACTTCTTTCCTGAAAGCTTAACTGGAGCCGCATTGACTTGGTACATGCAACTAGACCAAACCAAGATCAAAAGATGGAAAGACCTTGTGGATGTTTTCATGAGACAATACAAGTTCAATCTTGATACTGCTCCGACCAGAGAACAATTGAAAGCAATGACCAAGAAATCATCAGAGTCATTCAAAGAATATGCTCAAAGATGGAGAATAGTGGCTTCGCAAGTGCAACCTCCAATGGTTAATTCCGAACTTTGCTCGTACTTCATCCGTGCATTGCCTAAGCCATTTTACCAACACATGATAGGAACACATGTCACTGATTTTGCTGATTTAATGGTAATTGGGGAAAGGATTGACATAGACATACGAGAAGGGAAGATAGCCACTTCTCAAGCTGAAAGTAGTTCACGAAAGAACTATGACCAAAAAAAGAAAGAAGGGAATGTGAACTATATTCAACCTATAAGACAAGCAGCTACCAATTCTCAAGTCCCTTATCAAGTAGAGGGAAGGAATCAAAGACAGCAACAATTTGGGTTCAGGCCTAACAAGCACGGACAGGATGGAGAGAGGAGAAATGTCCAATCCAGGGATAGTCGCCCATGGCCCAATTTTGGATTAACAAATGCTGAATTGTACCATAAACTTTTGACAGCCCAATTATTAGGTCCGCGACCTTATAAGCCTCTTGGTCCGCCTTACCCGGCATGGTATAATCCAAATGTTGTTTGTGAATACCACATGGGTGCACCTGGGCACTCAATAGAAGACTGTGTGACGTTTAAAAGGAATGTGCTAGACCTAGTTGATTCTAACCATATCCAGCTTAAAGAAGAGGGAAGCTCTACCCTTACTACTGATCCACTCCCAAATCACGAAAAACGAGTCAACGCTATTGAAGAAGAAGATGCGTGCTTCAAAAGCTCCGCAAGGATCAGGATGCCTATGAATGAGCTTTATGCTCACTTAAAGGAGTATGGCTATATGCGAGAAATGCTCCTCACGAATAATATCAGTGATCAAATGCCTGGATACTGTGAATATCATCAGGAGAAAATAGGCCATGACATAGAAAGTTGTGAACAGTTTAAAGGAGCTGTTAGAAAAATGATGGCGTTAGGGATCGTGTCTGTAAAGAAGGGAGACGCCAAAGTGTGCATGGTAGAAAAAAAACATGTTGAGCTTGTCATTAAAAATTCGAGCCCAAAAGAACGGGTTCAGGCAGTCTCTTTTGTGATAAACAAAGCCTCTGCAGATCTTGTACCTCACGTAAGACAACCAACATTGACCATAAGCACGCCTCATCCCTTTCCCTATGAAAGTGATCGAGCAGTCCCGTGGAAATATCAAAGCATTGTGGAGAACCACAAAAACCCAACGTTGATTGCCGGGACAAGCAATGAAATGGCAAACCAAGGGGGTGTTACTCGAAGTGGAAAACCATACTTACCATCTTACATTAGGAAAATGGTAAAAGAGAAAAATGCAAGTATTAACAGGCCAAAGGAAGACAATCCTAAAGAAATGGAAAAATTAGAAGATGAGTTTTTATCGATTATGAAGCAAAGTGATTACAGCATTGTGGACCAATTGAAGAAAACTCCAGCGCGTATCTCCATACTTTCTTTGATTTTGAGTTCCGAAGCGCATCGCCAAGCATTGCAAGAAGTGTTGAATCAAGCTTTTGTGCAGCCTAATATAACCCCTGAGAAGGTGGCAAGTGTAATGAATGTTGTAAAAGCCTCCTCTACCATTTCCTTTTCGGAAGAGGAAGTTACAGAAACCGCTGTCCACCAAGCCAAGGCTTTGCACATCACTTTGAAATGTGAAGGGTTCATAATCGCAAGAGTATTAATTGACGGAGGATCAGCGTTAAATGTCTTGCCGCTCTCCACATTCGAATCATTATCACTAGAGGCTTCAAGTGTACATAAAAGTAATATTGTGGTAAGAGCATTCGATGGATCAAGACGGGAAGTATTAGGATCCGTTTGTCTCTCCCTGGAGATAGGGCCAAGCAGGTTTAAGGTGGATTTCCAACTCATGAACATAGACCCAAGTTACACAATGCTGCTAGGAAGGCCATGGATTCATTCTGCTAGGGCTGTTCCTTCTACCTTACATCAAAAGGTTAAATTCATCAGTGATGGGAGAATTATAGCAGTTAAAGGAGAGGAGGAAATCATGGTGAGCAAACCAAGCTCACTCCCTTATATTGAGGCTGCAGAGAAAGATCATGGAGTTTCTTTTCAAAGCCTAGAGGTTGAAGATATTTGCGATAGTACTCACAACATCAATTCCGTCGTGGCTAAAATCATGACGAAGAGTGGGTTTATGCCAGGGAAAGGTTTAGGCTCTCATTTACAAGGAATTACGTGTCCAATTAAGGTTTTGGATAATTGTAATCGCCAAGGGTTAGGGTATGAGCCTACCCTAGAAGACCAGATGAAAGACAAAGCAAGCTTGGCAAAAGGCAAAAAGGCTAGTAAATTGGAGATTCCACACATTAAAGAATCCTTCCCAGGCCCGTCCGAGATGATATATAAACCAACTATCTCAGTGATCTCTTTTAATGAAGATGTAGCATGCAGAACAAGTGCCTCAATTGCAGTCGATGATTCCAACAAAGTTCTGGCGAATTGGGAGTTTGAAGAGGCCAATGATGTCATTAGCTTAGAGTAATTGTTTCAATTATGTTGTTCCTACTTTATCCACTTTTGAGCCCAGGTTTAGGTAATAGATCTTGGGTATTCACTAATGCAAACTTTTGATACACATAATTCATGAAAATGAATTTCAATTGCATTCATGTCTATTTCTTTATTCCACCCTATCTACTTCAATACATCTTTCTCCATTTCATTCCTGTTCCTTATTTTATCTCGTTCCATATTCATTATCCAGGGATTTTGTTTCTTCTGATTCCATCTCCCACCCAGAGATTAATAAACCCTGTGAAGATGATTCATTCGTTGCCACTGATATGCATGATTGTGAGTCTGATGATGAAGACATAATCCAAACTTTTTCAAAGATGCTTGAATTGAGTGATAAGGGAATATGCCCACATGAAGAAGTGATTGAGATGGTTAATATGGGAACCGAGGAGGATCAAAGAATGCTCAAAATAGTAGATAATCCTGAAAGAGAACAAATGATTGAGTTGTTCAAAGAATACATAGATGTGTTTGCATGGTCATATAAAGACATGCCTGGGCTAGACCCAAGCATTGCTTCTCATAAAATACCATTACTTCCCAAGGTCGAGCCTAAGAAACAGAAGTTAAGGAGAATGAACACGGGGGTGTCCTTGCAAATAAAAGAAGAAGTAATAAAGCAGTTAGAAGCAGGATTTTTGGAGGTAGTAACTTACCCACAATGGGTGGCAAATATTGTTCCTGTTCCTAAAAAAGATGGTCGGATTCGAATGTGTGTTGATTATCGTAATTTAAATAATGCGAGTCCGAAAGATGACTTTCCATTACCCCACATTGATGTATTGGTCGATAATACTGCTCGAAGCTATCGCTATTCCTTTATGGATGGTTATTCAGGGTACAATCAAATCCCTATGCATGAAAGGGATAAAGAGAAAACAACCTTTACAACCCAATGGGGAACTTATTGTTACCGGGTAATGCCTTTTGGTTTGAAAAATGCTGGGGCAACTTATCAACGAGCTATGGTAGCACTATTCCATGACATGATGCATAAAGAAATTGAAGTATATGTAGATGATATGGTAGCTAAATCAGCAAAGAATGAGAGTCATGTTGGAGTCCTTAGAAAGCTATTTGGGAGATTATGCGAATATCGGCTAAGATTGAATCCTAACAAATGCATTTTTGGAGCTCTTTCTGGGAAGTTATTAGGATTCATTGTGAGTCGTAAAGGGATAGAAGTAGATCCAGATAAAGTGAGAGCAATTCAAGAAATGCCATCTCCCCAAACAGAGAAAGAAGTTAGAAGTTTCTTGGGACGATTGAATTACATTGCTAGATTCATTGCCAATCTAACAGCCACTTGTGAACCAATGTTTAAGCTGTTAAAGAAAAATTGCAAGGAGACATGGGATGATGATTGTCAAAAGGCCTTTGATAAAATTAAAGATTATTTATCAAATCCCCCGATTTTGGTCCCTCCATCACCAGATCGTCCACTAATCCTTTACCTAACAACTTTACCTCGATCAATGGGAGCAATGCTAGGTCAACTTGATGATTCTGGAAAGAAGGAAAGAGCGATTTATTTCTTGAGCAAGAAGTTTAATGAGTGTGAAGCTCGTTATCCGGTGATTGAGCGAACTTGTTGTGGACTAGTATGGGCAACTAGAAGGCTAAGGCAATACATGCTTTACTACACTACCTGGCTAATCTCACGAGTGGACCCACTTAAATACATCTTTGAGAGCCCGCACATTGCTGGTAGAGTACTAAAATGGCAAGTTGTACTATCAGAGTATGATATAAAGCATGTGATGCAAAAGTCAGTCAAAGGTAGTGCAATAGCAGATCACTTGGCCGATAATCCTTTAGGGGATGACCAGCCATTAGATTTTCAATTTCCTGATGAAGGCATATGCACTATAGAAGAAGGTTGTGATGAAGGGAACAATGAAGAGCAAGAATGGGAAATGTATTTTGATGGAGCCGCCAACATGCATGGAAATGGGGTAGGAGCGGTGATCGTTTCACCAGAAGGAAAACAATTTCCAGTGGCCATCAAATTAGAATTTGATTGTACTAACAACATAGCAGAATATGAAGCTTGTGTTAATGGTCTTCGAGCAGCTATTACCCTTGGTATACGGCGTTTGAAGGTATTTGGTGATTCAGCTCTCATTATTCATCAAGTAACAGGAGAATGGAGAACAAAGGATGTAAAATTGATTCCCTATCAAGAACTCCTAACAGATTTGATTAAGCAATTTAAGGTTGCTAGCTTTCATCACTTGACTAGAGATAAAAACCGTTTCGCTGATGCTTTAGCCACTTTAGCAGTAATGATCCAACTTGATTGTGGAGTCCATATCCAACCCATCCAAGTGGAAGCTAGAAGCTTTCCAGCGTACTGTTGAATGTTGAAGAAGATCGAGAAGAATATCCTTGGTTCCAGGATATTAAAGATTATATCACTAAGAGATCATACCCAGCTGGAATGACTGAGAATGAAAAGAAAACCCTTCGTCGTTTGGCTATGACATTCTTTATCAGTCAAGATGTTCTGTACAAGAGGGGTTATGATGGTACTTTACTTCGCTGTGTGAGTTCAGAAGAAGCAAAGAAAATCATGGTTGAGGTACATGAGGGCATATGTGGCAAGCATGCGAATGGTCACACTATGGCCAAACAGATTCAAAGGTGTGGCTACTTCTGGCTAACAATAGAGAAAGATTGCTTTGAGCATGTCAAGAAATGCCATAAATGTCAGATCTATGCTAATAGGATAAATGCTCCTCCAATCCTATTACATAATTTAGTATCACCCTGGCCATTCTCAATGTGGGGCATTGACATTATTAGCCCAATTAACCCAAAAGCTTCGAATGGACATCGCTTCATCCTTGTCGCGATTGACTATTTCACAAAATGGGTAGAAGCAAATTCATTTGCTAGCATCACGCAAAAGACGTTCCTTAAATTCATGAAGACCAATATTTTATGCCGATATGGGATTCCTAAAAGGATCATTACTGATAATGGTCCTAATCTCAATGGAACGGAAATCAGGAACTTTTGCGAGAAGTTCCAAATCAAGCATCATAATTCAGCCCCGTATAGACCTCAAATGAATGGAGCAGTTGAAGCAGCCAATAAAAATATTAAGAAGATCATTGGAAAAATGACAGTAACTTATAAGGATTGGCATGAGATGCTTCCCTATGCTTTACATGGTTATCGTACTACTGCACGCACATCCATAGGGGTGACCCCATACTCCCTTGTTTATGGAATGGAAGCTGTTACACCCATTGAGATAGAAATACCATCTTTAAGAGTATTGGCAGAGGTAGATTTAGAAGAAAATGAATGGATACGAACCCGATTTGAGCAACTTAACATGATTGAAGAGAAAAGGCTCATTGCAATGTGTCATGGACAATTGTACCAAAAGAGAATGGCAAGAGCTTTTGATAAAAAACTTCACCCACGGGAATTCAGTGCTGGAGATCTTGTACTCAAGAAAATATTGCCTAACCAAGAAGATAATAGAGGCAAATGGGCTCCGACCTATGAGGGACCTTATGTTGTCAAACATGCCTTTTCTGGAGGAGCACTGATCCTAGCTGACATGGACGGTCAAGAGTTAGCAAAGCCCATTAATGCAGATGCTGTCAAGCATTACTTTGCTTAAACAGAAAATGAAAAAGATTGAAGCGCTCGTTAGGTTGAAAACCTGTAAAGGCAACCTAGGCAAAAGTTAGAGCTAATAGAAAATGAAAAGGGAAGAATAGCTCATTAGGTTAAAAAACCTGTAAAGGTAACCTAAGCAAAAGTTAGAGCTAAAAAAGAAAAAAAAAGAGGGGCAAAGCCATTATAAGAAGAAGAAGAGTTCGCCAAGACAAAAGGATGTCTTAGGAGAAGAAAAGGAAGGCATCAAAAGTTAAGTATCTATGTTTGGGAAAGTTGACTCCATCGTCTCTCATATTATGCATATCAATAGCAGCTCAGTGAAGCACCTGTTGGGGTTTTGAAAAGCTAAAGGAAAGAGATGTGATTAAGTAAATCCATATATCCCATTTATGCTTTGGCCATTTGTACTCATAAACCAAGATATTCCCATTTCTCTATGAATTTTAGCATCAGTGAATGAATTTTTTCCGCCCTTGCTCCTTTGAGACCATCTTTCTTCTCGTTTAGTGTTATCATATTCAAATTCATATCCCTTATATTGCAGCAGGTTCGCATTCAAGGAACAATGTTTATTGACATGTTTACTTGACATAGAATGTTGGTATCTTCATTCTCGCCTTTCTCCCTTGAGATATCAAGATCATTGCGTAAGTGTGAAATAATAATGAGAGCATGTGCGCTATCAGTGTTCGGTCATAATAGTTGGTCTCATTAGCTTGAAGACAAGATCAAGTGACAAGAATTTGGTCATTGGAATTTTCTAAAGAGGAGCAACGGCATACTGTGATACTACACCTATTAATGAATAAAGGTTAAATAACAGACTTAGAGGTATTACCTTATGTTCGAAATGATTTATTCAATGTGCACAAAATTTTCAAAAGCGGATAAATATTAAGATAGTTTTCAACATTAAGCTTTCCAATAAAATTTTTGCAATACATTTGCATTATTCATACATTTGCATTGGGGCAAATAAGCGCGTCTTACCCTTTGCATTCATCATAAAAGGAAGTCTCATAAATTGAGACAAACAAAGGTTCAAACCTTTTACATTGCAAATCATCCATCCATGGTATATTGTACATATTTTCAGCACTTACGAAAATCATACAAGGCGCATTACCACATTGCATCCCTTGTCATAGAAACACGCCACATTTGGATTGGGGCAAAATGACATATAAAAAAAAACAAAAACAAAAACAAACAACAACAACAACAACAACAAAATTTTTTAAGAGAAGAAATAACGAACTTCACATGTGAGTTTCTCATAACTTCCATGTGAAATAAAACCTATTCTCACCCCCCAAAGCCCAGTACCGGCTGGCATGATTCTTTAAAGCCCTGTAACGGCAGGCACCCTAAAGCCCTGTCACGGCAGGCAACCCAAAGCCCAGTACTGGCTGGCATAATTCTTTAAAGCCCTGTAACGGCAGGCACCCCAAAGCCTTGTCACGGCAGGCAACCCAAAGCCCAGTACCGGCTGGCACAATTCTTTAAAGCCTTGTAACGGCAAGCACCCCAAAGCCCTGTCACGGCAGGCAACCCTAAAGCCCAGTACCGACTGGCACGATTCTTTAAAGCCCTGTTACGGCAGGCACCCCAATGCCCAGTACCGGCTGGCAAGATTCTTTAAAGCCCTGTAACGGCAGGCACCCCAAAGCCCAGTACTGATTGGCACGATTCTTTAAAGCCCTGTAACGGCAGGCACCCTAAAGCCCAGTACCGGCTGGCACGATTCTTTAAAAGCCCTGTTACGGCAGGCACACCAAAGCCCAGTACCGGCTGGCACGATTCTTTAAAGCCCTGTAACGGCAGGCACCCCAAAACCTAGTACCGACTGGTACGATTCTTTAAAGCCCTGTAAAGGCAAGCATCCACCAGGTCCTTTGGAACATAGGAATTTCATCTCCATTGAGGTTTTGTTTTGTTTAGTTCTTAAGTCACATTTCATTTTAAACCCTTTGTTTTATTTTGTTTTGTTGTTTTGTTTTTTGTTTTTATTTAGTTGTAGGTACCTAAGAGTCTTGCCCTTCCAAACAAAATACATGTTTCTCTCTTCATTCATTTCTAAGATAAAAATATCATCTTATGAAATTTTCACTTAGAAATCAAATGATGAGGGGGCAACTAGTCAACATATATTTTGTTTGGATCGTTGTCATTTGGTTATTTTCATTTGCATCACAAAAACATCAAGAAATAAAAAAATTCATCATTTTACAGTGTTCGTTATCCTATAGTCTTGCATTCTTTTATGTTATTTGGTTATTTTCATTTGCATCACATTGCTCAAAAAAAAATCAAAAAAAAAATCATTTTATTGTCTTGCATTGTGTTTGGATCTTTGTCAATTGATCATTTTCTTTTGCATCACATCATCTCATCACATTACTAAAACAAAAAAAATCATGTCATTGTGTTAGTTAAGCAATAGTCTGGCATTTAATTATATCTTGTCGTGTCAAGGGCAATTAGGTCTTTTCATAGGTATTGCATGGCCGGCCAAAATACATGTTCTATCTTTACTTGTCACTTATGTAAGAATTCAAAAGCACACTTTTTCATATACTTACATAAGAAACAAGTAAAGAGGGGCAACTGTGAACACCGTATTTTGTCCGGGCATTTTTCTTTAAATTTTAATAATAAAAAATCAAAAAATATAAAAAATATAAAAAGAAATTTAATCCTTTTAGGATTATATTTTCAAAAAAAAATCTTGCTCAATTTTTTTGAAAAAAAATCTCTCTCAAATTATCCCAACCATTCAAAGATATTGGGAATCAATTTTTTTTTTAGACTCAACTTTTTTTTTAAATTTCTCTCCTTAAATTTTTTCCATTTAAAAATATGTATTTTAAAACTAAACTTTTCTTTCTCTCCCTCAATCTAATTAACAAAAAAAAGCATTAAAGAATGGCTAAAAAAAAAGGAAGAGAGCATCAGAACACACGCACACATACTCTTTCGGCCATGTGCAGAAAAAGAAGAAAACAGCAGAAAAGAGACACGAAATGCAGAGACACAAAATGCAAAAACAGCAAAGAAATGCAGAAACAGCGAAGAAACACAGGCACAGAGACGCAGAAATAAAATAAGCATACACTTTCGGCCATGTAGCAGGAAAAAGGACAGAAACAACAGAATGCACGAGCTGCAGACGCTGAAAGAAACAGCAAAAAACAGACATGAAACGCAGAAGAAGCAAAATAGAGCATAAAGAACAGTAAGCAACCGGAACACGTACGCATATACTTTCGGCTGGCAGGAGAAAAGAAACAGAACTAAGGATGCACGCATGCATGAAGGAAATGGCACAGCAGAGAAAGCAGACGGGGCAGCACAGAAAATAGAGACAGAAATGCAGAAAAACAGAGCAGACTTCGGCGCACACAGAAAACACAGCAGAAAGGAAAAGCGGAGCAGGAAAGTAATGATTCACCTCTTCCATCCCCTATATAAGACTGAATGAAAAACAGAGGGATGGACGGTTTTTTGGACTGAAAGAAAGGAAGAGAGAAACAGACAGACAGAAGAAACAGAAAACAGAGCATAAAAAAAACGAAGGAGAAGAGAAGAGAAGAGTGACCGAGAAGGAGGGGGGAAGCAACATAAAAATATATACAGAGGAGAGAGAGGACCGAAAGAGGTGAAACAGAGGCTGAGGGAGAAAGGCTATTCCGGCTGGAACAAAGTAGAGGAAACGAAAAAGAGGAGTGCGTTTTTTTGGCTGGAGAAAGGAAGGAGAAACGTACGTACAGACGAAACAGAAAACAGAGCACAAAAGGAAAAGAAGAGAAGAGGCGGAGAGGAGAAAGAAGAAATAGAAATGGAGAGGAGAAAGAAGAGGCTGAGACAGATCTGGACGTCCCATACGCGCAGGTTCTTGCTTCTGAATCCAAAATATACGTGTTTAATTTTTGTTTACTATTCCAAAATGGATTTCATGTTTAAATGTTTTGTCTCATATTTTTCAGCTCCCAAGTGATTTCATTGCAATTGTCATATTTTTTTTTTAAGAAAAGAGGGTTTGAAAAAGAAATAATAAAGAAATTGCAAATGATAATTTTTGTTTTCTATCATAGCTAGGCTAAATTTGATTATTAGGCACAATTTCATTTCAAATACAGAATTAGTGTAATTATTAAGCGAGGTCTTTAAATGTGTATATTAACATGTATGAGCATTATTTTTTATCTCCATTAATTCTAAGGTCCTTTACTTGTCAATAATATTGTTACACTCATACCGTATGACACTTTCTATCCACATGTACAATTGTATAAAAGATTAAGAGGAGAGAATTCAATTCTCATCTAAAAAAAACAAATGAATAAGAGAAGGTTTCTTGTATTTTATTAACTTGCCGTGTGAGATTTTAAGAATTTTCGCAGGCATTTAAAGTGATCTTATACCGTGTAAATCAATAAGATTTCGTAGGTATAGAGATCCAATTTATATGTACAATCAATGGTTTCAATGACCAACCGTTAAAACCAACTGTCTTTTTATAATCTAAATAATCCATTTAAGTTCCGTGTAAGATTACGAGAATCTTTGTAGAGACTTAAATTAATCATATTATCGTGTGGGATAATAAATCCTCGCAGATATAGTGATCATCCATTTTTATAATAAATAAATAATTTTTGTAAATAATCATATAGTATACAATTTAAGAAACTTAATTAACCAAATTAATATATTTAAATTATAACCATATTTACCAATTATATCTTTTAGTCATGTGAGATTTTTGAATCTCCGTAGGCTTATAAGATCATCGTGTTATCGTGTGAGTCAATAAGACTCTGCAGATATAACGATTTAGTTTTTAAAATATATATACATATATATTATATAATTAATTAAATCAATTAATTAAATTTAATTCCTATATCGTGTGAGATTTTAGAATCTCTGTAGATATTTAGGATAATCATATTACCGTATAAGTCGATAAGGCTTTGCAGGTATGATGATTAAAATTCT